GAACTCCTGAGCTCAGGCAATCCACCCAGCTTGGCCTCCCAGAGTGCTAGGATTACAGGCATGAGCCCTTGTGCATGGCCCATATATAGTTTTTTAGCTCAGAATAAGTCATGCAAGAAACTAGAGCGATCTAATGATACATTGTCTAATTAGCATTGTCTAGTAGAATTTTCTGTGAAGGTGGAAATGTTGATTATCTGTCCACTAGGTTAGCCACTAGCCACACGCACTTGAAATGTGACTAGTGCAACTGAGAAACTTAATTTTACATTGTCATTGATAGAACTTAATTATACATCTTCATGCATGGAGAATCACTTTAATAGATTGGAGCAGCATTTCTCACATGTTCAGTGGAGCTTTTGTTCTATGAGTTTTGTTCTTTTTTTTAAGAGTTCCCCTGTGGTTGAGTAGTATGCTTTTTAAACGCCTTTTAGAAATTCACACATATTACATGTAAGCACACTAATCAGAACATTAGCACAGAAAAGCCCTGGTCGTGGCAGCCCCATGTGCAGAATGGAGTGCAGTTTGGTATACAGACGGAGTAAGAGGAACTCTGCCCTTCCTTCATGCTACAAACTGGCTGTTTGTTTTGGGAATGATGTTCCAAACCTGCCCCTGAGGTATTTGCCTCTCTGCCTTGGAAATTTGGTATTTCCAAGCCTTCCAGCTTGGTGCTGTAGCTCAGTGAGTAGGGTGCCGGCCACATAGACTGAAGCTAGTGAGTTCGAGAGCCTGGCCCAGGCCTGCTAAACAACAATGGCAACTGCAACTAAAAAAATAGCCGGGTGTGGTGGCCTATTGTCCCATCTACTTGGGAGGCTGAGGCAAGAGAATCACTTAGGCCAAGAGTTTGAGGTTGCTGTGAGCTGTGACGCTACAGCACTCGACCCAGGGTGACATAGTGAGACCCTATCTTAAAAAAGAGAAAGCAAAACAGCCTTCTTTGACTTCTCTCTGATTCCATATTTCTACCTTTAACCCTCAGCCCTTTGCCCATGTCTGTTTGCTGGAACCCTCCAAAGGCCTTCCCAAATTAGTTCTGAGAATGTTTCCCTGATCTTTTCTTTGACCTTGGTGGTTTGTTGTATGTCTCACCTAGGTATGCCTTTGGCTTTTATGTACTATGTATTTGTCTCACCTGAAATATATCTCCTGTGAATATGTCCCTGGTGCCTGACACTAGTAAGTGATGGCTAGTCATTTGTATTTGGGTGTGGGTGTGGGGGATATAACTGGCTTGGCTGTCTCACCAGCCTGTTGACTCGGTAAGTTCTACACTTCAGGGGTCCTCAAACTTTTTAAACAGGGGGCCAGTTCATTGTCCCTCAAACTGTTGGCAGGCTGGACTGTGGGCCCCGGGATGAGTCAGCTGCCAAGCAGGACAGGCAGCAGCGGCAAAAACACCCAGCGGGCCGGATAAATGTCTTAGGCGGGCCACAGTTTGAGAATGCCTGGCTTAGGTGAACTTCAAATCACATACAGCATAGCTTCCAGAGTTCGGAGGTGACTTGGGTTCTCCTGTTTATTCAGTCAGCCTTCCTGGGCAGAAGTACTGATAAAATGGCATAATATGTGATGATACAAACAAGCTTGCTTTTGTTTCCCAAAGTACTTTAAATTATATAAGCAAGGGACAGTTGTGTAAGTCTATAGCTCCTCGGGAGGCTGAGATGGGAGGATCTCATCTTGAGCCCAGGAGTTAGAGGCTACAGTGGGCTATGAGCTCACCACTGTACTCCAGCCTAGCCTGTGGAGGAGAGACCTTATGTCTTAAATTAAAAAATAAAAAATAGTGGGCAGCGCCTGTGGCTCAAAGCAGTAGGGCACCGGCCCCATATGCTGGAGGTGGAGGGTTCAAACCCAGCCCTGGCCAAAAAAAAAAAAACCTGCAAAAAAATAAATAAATAAATAAAAAATAGGAATAGCTATAAAGGTTCTGAAGAAGTCCTGTTGTCATTTTGTAAAGTCAATGTTTCCATGAGAAATAGAAACTTTAGGTAAGATTACCTTGGATAAGATAACTTTTTATGTATTTCTACCAATCTGAAAAAATATTTACATTAGAATAAGGTGAATGGATGTTACTTTTTTTGTTAGGTTGAAAACAAGTAGGGGCTTGGTGCCCATAGCACAGTGGTTATGTTGCCAGCCACATACACCAAGGCTGGTAGGTTCGAAACTGTTCAGGCCAGCTACCCAACAATGACAACTGCAACAAAAAATAGCCAGGCATTGTGGCAGACACCTATAGTCCCAGCTACTTGGAAGGCTGAGGCAAGAGGATGACTTGAAGCTTGGCGCCTGTAGCTCAAGCTGCTAAGGCGCCAGCCACATACACCTGAGCTGGCAGGTTCAAATCCAGTCCAGGCCCACCAAAAAACAATGACAGCTATGACCAAAAAATAGCCAGGTGTTG